TTTAAAAAAAATTTTTTTTTGCTTGTTACAAAATTGTTTGTTTTCTTTACACCAGTTGATTTGTATCATTATTCTGTTCAAAAAAGTATTAAGGTAAGATGATAAAAAAATGAATATTTTACAAGATATTTTGTAATTTACGTCTAAATATTGAAACTTTCAAACCTTAATAACTCAAAAAGTTCTTAATACAAAAATACTTTATTATAGTGTTTTGGAAAGCTCTCGAGATAACCTACAAGAATATGTAACGAGAAATAGTAGGTTCCATTTAAGAAATTGAAGGTAACCTTAATGTGACCTTCAAATTACTCTTCAAGGTCAAACCTATGGTACCATCTTATGTCCCCCTCGAAACCATACAACTTTTGTCTGAAACATTTTTTCATATCTCTTTTAGTTTTTTAAACAATCGACTGTATAAATTAAAATGGCCCACCCTGTATATTTATATATACACGTATATACGACACGAGTAAAATAATGCAAAATGTAACCGATAAATATAAAAGGAAGAAATAAAATTGGCTTATTGGCACAGTCGCCTATTTCTCTCGAAAGTTTCGGTAAAATACAGTTTAGAACGTGTTTGAGAACTCTCTTTGTCGCCTTACTTTAAGAAGAGGAGCATCAGAGCGCGAGAAGTTGCCCTAATACGATGAAGTAGTCCTTCGAGGCATACGGTTATGCTGATAATAGCGAGGTAGGCGAGGTAGGTCAGCAAAGAAGCGATAAAACTTCCTCGAGAGGTTCTCCCCTCTCCTGCTTTTCAGTGACACAACAATGCCGTTCAAGCCTCCTTTATGGACGGTTACGCTCCTCGCCGCGAGTAGTAAATGACTTGGTCTGGCAGCCGTGCCGCGTCTTATGATGGACGGCGACTCGGTCAGAAAAGTCGACGCCTCGTTTAAGGTATTAGAAATCGACGCGTTTAACAACAAGTGTTGCAATCCGCAGGCACGGCTTCCCCGTTCAAACACTTAAAATACGGATGGGTACATATAAATACGTCATTGCCAGGCCAAGTTTTTCTTTTCGCGCTACGCAAGTTCGGGCGAGCAGCCTGTAGTGACCTTTCCGTTGCAGAACAATCGCACGCGGTTTATCGCGTGTTCTCGCAATTAACCGGCGCGCCGGATTTAATGCATTCGACAGCCTGGCGAGTAATTGGTTTATTCGGCCATGACGTTTGTATCGATAAAATTAAATTCAATACTGGTGCATTATACTAATTTAACTAAGCTGCATCCAGGTTTCTTTAAATATTACATTCGACTTATATATTAATAAATATATATTAACAGTTACATATTAATGCAATTGTCACATATAAAATTAATTCAAGGAACGTGTAATATATAATTAAATTCATATTAATTATATTATATACTTCTTGAATTATTATTAATAATTATTAATGATAATATCAATAATAATTCAAGGAATGTGTAATATATGGAGTTTTCAGAGTTTCTCGCATGTACATACATCTATATGGTCTTCGTAGCGACTTAAAATTATTACGAGTAATGATCGATTGTATTTTACCGAACATAATCCATTATTCGAGAGAGAACACGTAATTGCTTTTAATACTAAATGCACACGGCTGAGTTATGATAAATACAAGGATTGTACATTAAATGTTTATTTGGATTATCAATCTATCATCCGACACGCATTTTACAGCACGACATTAAGCCGTAATACATAGTTGTGCATTATATACGCGGATATCTAAGATCAATCGTAAGTTAAAAATATCGCGCTCAAGAATAGAAATGGATAATAAATAAGTTTGGCGCAGAGGCTAGTCGATAACCGCGATACGTCAGATTGATAAGCGTTAAAGAAACTGGTTGGTCGCAAATACACAGTAGTAATGTCAACGAACAAATAACCCAGAAGCGGATACAATTTTATGGCACACGGTATTTCATCTCCGCTCGGTTAACAGCTTGTCATTTCCCTGAATAACGCGGTTTATGATCGAGCCTGCATTATAACGATCAATCAGAATTTGCAGGTACTCGCGAATTATTCGCATCCTAATTTCGTAACGGCACGGTATCGAGCGTGCACACGGCGGGCCAACTGCGACGTGTCATCTTGATTCTTGTCCCAATTAAGATTTACATATACGCGCTCGTAAAAGAGCTTTTCTCGAAATTTGTCTCGTTCCTTTTTGCCGTTACGGTCCTCTCTGTCTCGGAGAAAGCGTGTCATGAAACTCATTGCGTATATCATTGCTCGCCAGCGGTGTCGCCTAATTATAATTTACCGCGTATGTATGATTTTTTTCACTTTAGACAATTCGCTTTCCGAACTTCATTTCTTTAGGCGACTACGGTCGTAAGCTCCGCGATACGCCTGTCAAACTGCGAAACTCACATTCCACGCGAAATTTATGTCTCCCCATGAAAATGTCCTCCTGAAATTTGCCGTCCCTCGAGATTTTATACGAAATGGCCACTTCTCAAATTATCGTGGCGAAAGTTTTTGCTCAAGAAATTTTCCACTCGCTTATAAATCGTTCTCGTAAATTTTTTTTTGTTCTCTTTCGACTGAAGCAAGTTTCGTTTTAAACGAAAACCTCAGGCTGAATTATCATTCGTGCGCGCGCGCACGCGTTATTTGCTTGTAACTTATATATAGTGTTTAATGTAGTAGCAGTGTTCGCTTTTCATTTAAAACGAAGCTTGTTTTATTGTATGTTCAATATCAGCTTTACTACAATAAAAGGATCCTTTATTATAATGAATACGTTCGGAGTAATGAGTGTATTTGTATTTCACGAATATTTACACAAATTTTAATTAAACGTTTAAATAGCATTTAACTGCGAAGCGTTATTTCTGTCTCGCGTGGCATGAGAACCCGGAGAGCCTTCCATTAGCACTGTATTTCCTAATTACCGTTGACTTTATTTCTACTTTGTGTGCGTAACGAGCTGCCGCCAAGTCATCGCGTTTTATCACGGTCAGAAACGCCCTTTAATGTCGCAACATAAAACAGCCGCAGGGTAATTGATGCATGCGAGATGGATTCTGGGCGTGTGGGCCAGAAAGACAGGAGAGGGAGAGGAGAGTTATCAACGAACCCTGTACCGAGGCATGCATTACAAAGGGACGCGTAATTTATTGTTAAAGGGGTGGACAAGGCGTACGATGCTTAGGGATGCTTGGACGAACGACGGTGGGAAAGGCTGGTGGCGATGGTGGTCCAGGTTGGGCGGATTGCTGGCGATGGCGGCAGCCATATCCTGTCTCGTTGCCCCGTTTCCGGGCGCCTCGGCCAATCCGGAAGCGAAGCGTCTCTACGATGACCTGCTGTCGAACTACAACCGCCTCATCCGCCCTGTTGGCAACAACAGCGATCGCCTCACTGTCAAAATGGGACTACGCCTCTCCCAGCTCATCGACGTCGTGAGTAGACCCCACTTAACCCATTATCCTATCGCATGAATAGCGTTTATACTCTCTATATAGAGGGCTTGCGTCCCCGGGACGCACGCCAGATATGTGGAACAAGTGTACTTGGTTGTGAAATAGTCCAACGTGTTTCATCGATTGGGCCGATCCAGAGGAAGCGATATCGCGGGGGGGGGGGGGGGAGGGCGGTATTGTTTCGTTAATGAAGTTAAGGCAAAGCAGACCAGGTATTGCTGGTAACGATGGATTTTAAACGCGAATCAAAGCCGCGTTTCATCCCCCTTCTTTCTCCTCGCCTCTTCATAATCTTCGCGCCACGCGAAATTATAGAAATACCGGATTATATTTTAAATCGTTACGTACACACGCACATTATTATCATGGAAAATATTTCCTCTCGCGGACACCGTGCTTTCGAGAGACATGACAATTTAAAGCAAACCTCTTAACTGATAATGTCTAAAATTTACGTAGCGCACGATTCTGTGTGGGGTTTCAGTAAAGTATGCTTACATAATTTCATAACCGCTCAATTTATATATGATTTGCGTTTGTACTGCGCCACACTATTTTCGTAATATTGACGTGTGCGGATGATGCAAATGCGAAACAATGTTATGCTCGAGGCTCACTTTCAACTGCTATTCGGAACATTCCGCACTCGCGTAAATCAAATTAGAAATTCTAGCTATCAATGCACGCTGTTAATTAAATTGATTAAACTGTTTACTTCATTTTAATGAGATTCATACCGTACGTTAGAAAATGAAATTTTCCATAATTATTTACTCGTTTTTAACATTTACACATCTCTCTTTGTTTACGTGTATGTTCTCATTATATTGTAAAGACCATTTATTGCTATGAATAACAAAACACAATGCTTTAATAACGTTGTAAAGCTTAATTTCTACGCGATCAAGCGCAGTGTAAGATGAATTTCTACGATGTAGGATACAAGCAGGTGAATTAGTGACACGGTGAAGATAGAATGTGCGCGAATAGGGTTTTATTCTGCCGTCATCGCAACCAATATGCAGTGCCACCGTGGGCTTTTCGTCACGGTTTATATTCACGCTGATATTTTCGTTCACTCGTCATGTTACACGCCTATTCGCCTGTCTGGAAAGATATCCGCTTGCAACCCGTCCGTATGCGTGTCCGTGTGCGTGGAATATGGATTCTGCACTAGATGACCGATAACGGTCGTCCGCGTACTTGCGGTGATAAGTTGGATTCCGGGAGTTCCTCTGCCGGAAACGGAACTAATTTACAAGCGAAGGGATCCATGGCACTCGAGCTATTAATTGCCATAATCTGATCGTCAGTAATCAATCGCGTCACGACGCGACGAGGAACGCTCGAAACTAAACATACACGCACGCGCACGCACACGCCCGGGATGCACTCCTCGGTCGATCGATGTGTTAGAATTACGTTGATTGTCCCCGTTCCCCGCATTGTCTCCCCCCCCCCCTCTCCCCGGTTATTACATTCGAGTTACATGCCCGCGACTCGATCTGAATTTCGGCAGTAATTGCCTCGATCATGGATCTCTATCGACTAATACGTGCTTCAGTTTGACCATAATTAATTTGTTATCGGCCGTTATCGGCGTGCCTACTGTCGCGCGTTATCGACGCGGGATTCAGGCTACAAGTTCCACGCAATTTTGGTACTCTAGTGATTATTGTAGCTTTCGCCAAGAGGCAAGAAGCGCGCTTACTTCCGGAGAGACCCTAAAAATCTGACGTTATCATCATTTAACGAGCCAAATTAATTTCTGCCATTTCTTCTCGATCACTTGGCAGCCTCGCTTGATTGGAATATTTATAAGAAATTGATATGACAATATATTTTATTTTACACTGTCGTCGTTGCTGTTATTGTTTAGAAGACGAGACATTTCATATTCATTGTGTTAAAAAAACTCCAAAGTAGGGCTGACACTTTTTGGAAAACATTTCTGAAACATACGTGACTGTCAAGTGATTAATTTATTTATTTCCACGATGTTAATAGAAGGAATATGTCGTTCTTATACCATTACATTTTATCGGTTAAATATCAAGCAAAACTTCCGACATTGCCGCTTTAATGCACGTTGGTAAACGTCGAAGTATTAAACGGAAAGCTTGCGCAATTCCGCTTTTCGAAATCTCGTTATCGTTACACGAACGCAATAATTGCTGAGCGCGAAATCGCCCGTTCGGTTTATAACGATTGCCCGTCTACAATGTTTATGATTCACTCAAAACTATCGCGCTCGGTTATGGCACGTATAACTTTTCACTGACTGAAAATCCCGTTGCAGGACCAGTAAATAATAATTACTGCGGCAGTACGTGCAACGAACTCGTTTCGCCGTACACACGTTCGTCGAATTTACGAAACAATCGGCACCGCGGCTGATCGGATTCCGCCAGCGAAGATAGCGGGAATAAGTAACGAGCGAACTTTGAGGATCGTGTTATCTAAAGCGGCGCGCAATGCGTCGATGCCTGATCGAGATTCGATCGATACTTAATGTCGGATATCACATCGTTTTCTGTCTCACGTGACGACACTCGGCCGTGCTGACGGCCAACGCCCGCCTTTCACGCCAGCGGCTCGACAAAAGCTGCGAAATTCGATCAATAGTCGGAGGCTAACTGGCCGATTGTTTCTTCACATAAGTGGCTGTACCAGTTTACCGCGAGTGAGAGAAACAGGAGTGCGCGGTGAAGAGAGGAAGTGAGAGCATTCATTTAATTGTCAGAGTCACACCTCGACGCTCTAAAGGTGTCGACTAACAATAGGTACTTCGCATTGGCAAGTTTAGACGTACACTTGATACCGCAACCAGTATTTCCTTATGATTGTTATCGAAATCATTAGTCGTCGCATAGACTGGAATGTGGGGTAAAAAATAATGCACGATAAATCGCGGCGCAGCTCCGACGAGGAAATAGGGGGAGAAAAAGTCCTTCGTATAAAAAGCAAGTAAAGATTAAGTTCCTTTATCGATCGATACAAAAATAATATCCGTTCGTTTTCATCCGATGCTCGTCTTACTCGCGGTTTTAGAATTTCTTTACACGTGTTTATCGTGATATTTTCGTCGGGCGAAAATTCACCTCGAGTTGATCGAAGGCAGCCGGTAGAAGTGCGGTACTCCCTGTACGAAAGCTCGAATGGCTTGCCGAAGCGTCGTGTAGATTAGGAGTGCAAACCAAAGTTTACGCAGACGGACGACGACGGCGCGAATACGTTAATCGATGGTCGAAAGTAGCGCGGGATCGGTCGCAGCGGAATGGCATCCCAGCGGGCTCGTAAGAGGACCAATTCCCAGCGCCGTGGTGTTCGACCATTATTTACACGGCCTCCTTTTCAAGGTAATCACCTCCTTGGAAACGCAGTTGTTCTCTGCGGAACATCTCTCCTTCCCCGTTTCCCCCCCTGGACTCGAAGTAGCCTCGTGATTCGGTTCTACGGGGATTTACGAGCGACGGCAACAGCAGGCACTGAGATTGACTTTTACTTCCGCGGCTGCGGCCCGAGACCATACGGGTCCCATACTTCCTCCTTCTTTTCCTTTATTGCGAGAGGATTTCCTTGTTGCGCGGTACGTGAGGAATCGCGAGAGCGCTAACTCGATGGCTTTGCTTTTACTCGGCAAACTCCGGTAAATTACGCTTCGATCGTTCCGCATTATGTGGCTGCAAGTAACTGCTGTTATTAAATCAATACCTCATACGAAAAACGGCACTCCTTGGCTGCTGGGGTAAAAGAAAAACACATGTATCTCGTATCAGTTCACACAAGCTTTTTCTCCTTTCTCTTCTATTTCTTTTTACACAGCACATTTTTTAACTCTCTTTCACGTGTCCTTTCTTTCGTATCTTTATTCAATTCACAATGTACACACATAGTTTCGTTGTGTAACGTGAAATTCTCGATGCGTATACTTCACAAGCTTAAAATTATTGAAGTATATTTTAATGACGAGCCCATTATAGCTTCCGTAATTGCCAACCGCAATTGTTTTGGTCGCGATTATGAAATACCAGCGTCGCTCACACGAAATTCTCACGCAAAATAGCAAAATTCACGCTCAGCTGTCATTGGTCACGCGGTCGATTGCGTCGATCTACTAATTTTGATCGCCGGGTAGACAGTCGAGTGGTATACAGCGGCAGGTGTATAATCGGAGTGAACACGGATGATTGCGTCGCCCAAGTGGGCGAGGGTGCGAGTATGACACGAGGGCGAGACGGTACTTTCAGTCGGTGTCGGTCGATGATAAGGGTTCATTTGCGGTGTCGCGAACTCATGCGCCCTTAACAGCCCTCCGGCTATCGGCTTTTCATTTCTTCCAATTAAACGCTCCGGACGTTTCAACGGAAACCGAAGCACACGTTCTGAAATCCCGTGCGCGTGCTTCTCCTTCGGATACAGAATCTGGGTAGGATTTACAATCGGGCTGAATGATTACGGATTATCATTATCATTCCTGTTAGAAAATATCTTTCCTAATTGCAGGTGTCTCTGTTGCACTTGTGACGTTTCTCGCAATATGGTGTCCTCCAGGCATTAACCCTTTCGTGAGTTTTATGCAAAGTTTCGAATGTTGGTAACGCTAATATTTCATGTATTGTCCAAAAATGTGCGTGCCAAATAAGTGTACGTATAAATAATTTGACAATTTCAAATAACGGCGAGATGTTATATATATACGTTTGTTAAAATTCTTTCCGCGCATACCAATATATTATTTAATTGATCATTCCGCGAGATTCCACATTTTGAGAATACATATTTTTACACAACCCGTTTATTAGCCTCAAATTCTTATAGTCGCGTTAAATTCTCATAATAGGTATGCAATAAGAATTGCAAAAATGTTTTACCTTTTATTTTTTGAATTAGCAAACATATCAATCCGATAAAATACGCGCAGGATAATTTTGGCATTGCTTTATCAGGATTTTTTTCATGGAATATCAAGCAATCGA